GGCTGTTCGGCGTGGCACGGGCTCTGCAAGGGGGGTTGGGAGCCACGAGACTCACCCATTTCTCCTTGGGAATCCTTGAATTCCTGTTGTTGAGCCTCTATCTTCACTGAGGGCCAGTCATCAACTGTTTAAGTGTTCAATTATCAATAAGCCGAAGTCTGTGGAAGGCCATAATGGCCCTGCTCCTGCAGCTCACCACGCTGTCTCTGCCTCCGCCGCCATCTTGGATCTCCTAAACTGATTATTTTTTTGACCAGAATGAAAACAAATTCTTAATGGCTAATTTGTTGGCTGTGTAGTAATTGAGAGGCTGTAAAATGGTGAGGAAATAGAGAAAATGAAGTGGTGTGGATTCCCTATAATGGTGCTACATCTTCAGGGTGGGTTTTAGGGATCTTGACTGTACCTGCTGGCTTTGTTGTCCTCCCCATACTGTTGATCCTTGAGCCCAGAGGCAAGCAGAGCAGAGCAAAGTGTACCAGAGCTGTGCCGCTTTGCGGCACAGACTTTCCTGTGGTTTAGAAGGTGTACATTCTGCTTTGTCTCAGGGCTGTGAGGTCAAGCAGACTTCCCTGTGGGCTGGACACCTGTATTTTGCAAGTCAAGTCTCAGGAACACAGCCACACTCATTTGTTTGCATAGCACCTGGGATTGCATTTGCATCTGGAAGCAGCACTGTGATGTAAGAGAATGCATGGCCTTCAAACCTAAAGTGCTTGCCCTGGCAATAAGGAAACATTGCTGGCTCCACCCTGGTGCTCTCCAGGGGCAGGAAGAATGGGGGTGTGCAGAAGCTGGGCCCAGTCTGCTAGGCAGTGCCGGCCTTGAAGAGATCAGTTGGGATTGGTGAATCCATTTAGTCCTGGCTGATTCATATATTGCTTCTCAAGGGTACCATCAAGCAAGAGACAGAACTCAAAGGGAGGTTTTTATGTAATAAAAGCCTCAGTTGTTAACTATTTATGCCTCTCTTGTACTGGGTCAGGGGTGAGGGGAAAGCTTATGGGGCCCTGTCTCCTTTAAAAGTTGTTGTATACCATTAAGTCAGAACTAACCCATAGCTGACCCTCCAGTGGGTTTTCAGAAGCATTAAGTCACACATGAGGAGAATGCCCCTTTTGCTTCCACAGAGCAGCTGTTGGATTCGCATCACATGTCTTGGGGTTATCATCACCCCCCTTCTAGGCCTGTATATTGTTTGGCTGAAAGCAGTGGGCTCTCGACACACCACATGCCCTCTGACACAGCATTCAGCCTTCACACCCACATGCCTGAACTAGCTCTGCCAACCTGGCTCCTCCTCAACTGTTGTTTAATGCATCATTTTGGGTGCTTAGATGAAAAAGTAAGGACTATCCTGCAATATCTCCCTCTCACCTTCTTTGCGGTCACTCAAACTCAAATCTGCCACCACTCCTCA